CCAAAAGTTTCCTTGTTCCATTTCTCAGCCTGAAAAGCCATGAAACATTTGCTTGCCAGGGGATTCATGAACATAAAAATTGTCTATTTTAAGTTAATTTTTCTGAAGTTGTTTTTTTTGGAAGAAAGAGACTTGGGGCGGGGATGAAGTCCCAGACTGAAAAGGGCTGTTGAAAAGAGTTTGAGGCCCTGGATTTGATCACAATCCATATCAAACAGACATGACTTGTTCAACCATCGTACAGAAGAGCCTTGAAATTATAGTCTTAAAGAATTTTTTTGTCGATGCCACAGGAGTACATTTAAGTGCTTGAGGCATCGTGATCTATTTGCCAATATGATGTAATGATTAAAGAACCAGGTAAGATGGTGAGATCTAGTCTTGCCCTACCCATGAAAGCTGGCTGGGTGACTGGGCCAATCATTAGGAGATGGTGAGTTCTAGTCCTGCCTTAAGGCATGAAAACCAAATGGGTGACTGTGCCAATTACCAGGCGATGGTGATTTCTAGTCCTGGCTTAGCATGAAAGCCAACTGGGTTACTTTGGATCAATCACCAGGAGGTGGTGAGTTCTAGTCCTGCTTTAGGCATGAAAGCTGGCTGGGTGGTTTGGGGCAAATCAACAGGCGATGGTGAGTTCTAGTCCTGGTTTAGGCATGAAAGCCAGCTGGGTGACTTTGGGCCAATCACCAGAAGGTGGTGAGTTCTAGTCCTGCCATAGACATGAAAGCCAAATGGGTGACTAGGCCAATCACCAGGAGGTGGTGAGTTCTAATCCTGCCTTAGGCATGAAAGCTGCTTGGGTGACCTCTCTCAATCCAACTCACAGGGCTGTTGTTGTGGGGAAAATTAGAGGAGGAACGCATATTGTGTGTGTTCACTGCCTTGAGTTATTTATAAAAATAATAAAGGTGGGATATAAATAAAAAAAATACACAAATAAATAAATTTTAACAGGGTTGCCAATCCTACTTCCTAGAGCGGTGTTTCTCAATCTCAGTCACACTAGGATGGGTGGACTTCAATTCCCAGAATGCTGGCTGGGGGAATTCTGGGAATTGAAGTTTACCTATCTTAACATGGCTGAGATTGAGAAACATTGACCTAGAAAGTCCACATTTTTTTTTACCGTAATTGATTACAAAGATTTCTCTTGCACAAATCCCCCAGCTATAGGCAACAAGAGCCAATAGTTTCACACCTCGGTCAAAAAGGAACTTATAACCAGTTTAAAAATACTGATGTTCCTTACATTCGGCTAACTACCCAAAAACAAGGAAGTAGCCATGGTTTGTTGTTCAGTTGCTAAATTGTGTCTGACTCTTCACGACCCCATGGACTATATAGCACATCAGGCCCCCAGTCCTTCATTGCCTCAGAGTTTCCCCGAATTCATGTTCATTCTGTTGATGATGCTATTTAACCATCTCCTCCTCTGTTGTTCTCTTCTTTTGCCTTCCATTTTTCCCAACATTGGGGTCTTTTTCAACGAGTCTTTTCTTCTCATTTGGTGACCCAAATATTGGAGCTTCAGCTTTAGCATCTATCCTTCCAAAGGACTGTCAGGGTTGATTTACTGTTTTGGCCATGGTTAGCATGTTTAATTTTGCCTGGGAAGATCTGGTTAATATAGATAAAGATCTATACTAAGATAAAGATATATACCAAGACGATGAGGGGACTGGAGACTAAAACAAACGACGAACGGTTGCAGGAAGTGGGCCTGGCTAGTCTAGTGAAGAGAAGGACCAGGGGAGACACGATAGCAGTGTTCCAATATTTGAGGGGCTGCCACAGAGAGGAGGAAGGGGTCAAGCTATTTTCCAAGGCACCCGAAGGCCAGACAAGGAATAATGGATAGAAACTGAACAAGGAGAGATTCAACCTGGAAATAAGGAGAAACTTTCTGATAGTGAGAACAATCAACCAAAGAGCAATCCAAAAAAGATGGAAGACAAAAGAACAGGACAGCAGAGGAGGAGAACAGAAGTTGCCCTCGGAAGTTGTGGGAGCGTCATCACTTCAGACTTCAAAAGAAGAGGTTGGACTCACATCTGTAGAAATGGTGTAGGGTCTCCCGCTTGGGTGGGGGGGGGTTGGACTAGATGACCCACAAGGTCCCTTCCAACTCTGATTATCTGTTCTCTGTTGGATTTATTAGTGAGTTTAAGCCATCAAATCAAAACCGAGTCTTCTCAAGGTTACTGTGAAGATAAACTGGAGCTGCCCCAGGATGATCCCTCACTCTGGAGGCTCCAATGCAAGCAACTTCAAAACTGGTTCCATCACATGTGTTGGACATATTGCTGGACATGTTGGATGTTATGACATCCCTTTCGTGCAAAGAGTATGATGATAAGAAAAACCCATCTTCATGGCTTTCAACAGTGCAGGAAATGCTCCGGAAAATGAAATGAAGATAGCGGTTGATCTTCTCAACGGGCTGCACTCCAGATGTCTCGATCTCCAGGCAGGAGATATTTCCTCAAGCTACAGCAGAATGAGGAAGAGATTGAACCATGAGATAGGAAAGCAGACCTATAGTCCATTAGTCTCATCTACTTTCAGAGATGGTCCTTATAGAAATCCCCAGGTCTCCGGTTTCAAGAGCTGGTTTATATTTTTCTTTTTTAGTTCACTCTGCCAAGTTTTTTCCTTGTTGGGAGGCTGGGTGTCTTTGAGCTTTTGAAAACTGAGGTGTACATGGCTGGGGGACCCAAAGGGTGCATTAAAATAAGTTCAGGCTTCAGTGTAATGAAATTTGACATAAGACATAAGAATTTATTTGTCATTACACTCGCAAGCGGGTGCAACGAAATGAGGTGCTCTTCCACAAAGTAAAAACTGGACAAACACCACTAAAAAGAAAAAAAATTAAACTAAACACAACCAACCATACAATCATCTCTATGCAATTTAAAAATGTAAATACCCCATTACTCTCAGCCATTTAAATTCCACAAAAATCTTATGGCCCTGCATTCAAATTCAAAAATGCACTTGGATAAAAACTGTTCTTAAATCTGGTCGTCCTTGTTCTTAATACCCTAAATCTCCTTCTCGATGGTAATAGTTCAAAGAGCTGATGTCCCGGATGAGAGGAGTCATTCAATATATTAAGTATCTTCCTCTTACGTCTATTCCTATACAGTTCTTCCAAAGAGGGGAGTGAGCAGCCAATGATGTTTTGGGCCGTCTTGATCACCTTCTGAATTGCCTTTTTCTCTGCCACTGTGCAGCTCGAGAACCATACACAGAGACAGTAGGATAATAAATTTGATGTCACTTTGATTCCACTCCTCTTTTCTCAGGCCAAAGAGGAGGTTAGAAGGTGTATCAGGATGTGTGTGTGTGAAAATAAGACTGGGTCTTATATTATTTTTTGCTCCAAAAGATGCATTAGGGCTTATTTTACGGTTAGGTCTTGTTTTGGGGGAAATACGGTACTAAATGCGTCCATCTGGCTGATGATCTTAACTGGGGTTTATTTTGGGGGGTAAGGCTTATATTACGAGCATCCAGAAATATCATGCTAGGGCTATGTGTGTGTGTATGTATGTGTATAAATTTATGTGTATATGTGTGTGTATAAATGTGTGTGTGTGTGTGTTGAGGAAAACAATAAACACAAATTAATATAAAGGGGGGGAAAGGGGGAAGGGATAAAAGGGAAAAGTTTTAAAAAACTGACCAAAAAAAATACATAACCCATATATATACAAAAAGTGACTTTTGGTATTTTTCAACCCAGAGACAATTATGAAATACAACAATACCACTAAATTTTGATCACGTGACCATGGTGATGCTGCAAGGATCATAAGCGTGAAAAACAGTCGTAAGTCACTTTTTCAGTACCATTGTAAGTTTGAACGGTCGCTAAACAAACGATTGTATATCGAGGACTGTCCTTGCAGCCAATGTTTCCTTTCATCAACTCACCCCCCACTACAGGAAAGGTTCTAAAACCTTGACTGGAGCCACCACAGTGTGATCAAAGCTCCAGATGAAATAGCACGGTGCCAACCATCTTGGATCATGTTTGATTCTTGATGGGGGTCTGCTGCTCCTCCCCCCAAAAAAGTGAAGAGGGAAAATCTGTAGAGATTCTCAGTCATCCAGGTCATGGTTGTCCCAAAGGTGCTTTGTCAGGAGGCAACTGGACTTTCTTGTTTTTTCTTTTGAACACGTTACCCCTCTTTCTTTGTGACAGAACCTCAAATATTGGAAGACTGCTATCATGTCACCCCTACTCTTTCTTTTCATTAAACGAGACATATCCAATTCCTGCAACTGTTCCTCGTATGTTTTAGCCTCCAGTCTTGTAATGGCACCTTTATTGTTCTTCTTTGCACTCTTTCCAGGGTCTCTGCACCTTTTTTAATATCCTGGCAACCAAAACTGGATGCAATATTCATTCAATACCAAGACAACTAGACCCACCTTGGTTTCTCATGTGGCAAATCTTGGTCGCTTGGATGCTTGGGCCAGGTTGGACAGCATCTCAGATGTCCTTCCAATGCAGCCACGATGACTCATCCAATTTTGAAGAATTTCTAAGAGCCTGGTGAGTCTTTCCGATATTGTAAGACCAGTTGGCCAAATTCCTACGTGCCACGGGCCGTCCAGATCAAAGTTCTTGCATCATGGATGCAGAAGTAAAAGTGGCTTATCTACCCCGATCCTTCCTTGATTGAAATTGTAAATCCAGCGTATGGTAGTTGCTTCTTCCTCTTTACCACAAGCCTTTTAGGGAAGGGGTTACCCAAAGAAACCACACCAGCTAACTGCTTGAGTAACTCCCGAGCAGTTGTAGCAGACCCAGGTAGGTTACCAACCACCCACTGCATGACACACTCAAGCCCCACTCAAAGGATTTGCTGCTATAAGCGTGTTCGAAAAATTGAAGGAGACTTCCTTTATTTCACTTTTTCATTGGGCAACACGCCACATCTTTAAGGCTGAAGAGGCTGGCAGATTGTTCTCTGGATCTCAAAAAGATGGGGAGAGCAGACTTATGGCTCCTGAAGACCAGGCTGGCACTTTGGGTCATGTTCCAGGCAGGTAAAACTAACATTTCTTTTCATTAGATTCAGAATATCATTTATTTTATTTTATTTTATATTTGTATCCTGCCTTTATTTTTATAACAAATGTCTCCAGGCATTGGACATATCTGATATACCTTCCTCCTCTTATTTTCCTCACCACAACAACAACCCTGTGAGGGGGGTGGGTGGGTGGGTGGTTGGGCTGAGAGAGAAAGACTTGGCACAAAGTCACCTAGCTGGCTTTCATGCCTAAGGTAGGACTTGAACTCAAGGTCTCCCTCTTTCTGGTCTGGGTCCTTAACCAAACTGTTTTATGTTATCTGAGTATTATTGCTAACATTTCATTTAAAAAAAAACGGATGGTCCTTTAGTAGGGCTGGCTGGGAAATTTTATACATTGAGAAGTCCACATATCTGAAACTGCTCTAGTTGCTCAAGCTAGGACAAGTAGATTTAAACATAGTTTTTACCCAAGTGCTGTGATCAGGTTAAATTCAGAGTTATGAATCTGGTGGTCTTAACATATATATATCTTGGTTGTATAGTTTTTAACTGTTAATTGTTTTAATTTGTTTTACATTGTTATTTGTATATGTCTTTTGGTGTTGTTTAGTTGTATATTGTGAAAGAACACCTTATTTCGTTGTTCTCAGGTTCTGAGTACAATGACAATAAATTTATCTTAAATTTATCTTATCTTGAGAAACACTGATGTAGGAGACTCAGCTTTAGTAATACATTAAAAAAAACAACAATTTAGGTTTCACCACAAATCACAAATTTGACCATGAGGAAGCAACCTGATGCAATTGCTTAAAAACCTAATCTTAGATTGCCCAAATTGATGGGTTGTAAACATTTTGATTGTGAGGAGAGATCCATTCTGTTCTATGCCAAGATATTGAGGGTTTATCTGGAGCATTTTGTATAGGTAGTCCTCAGCTTACAACAAAAGCAATAGCACTTAGACTTATATATTGCTTTACAGTGCTTTACAGCTCTCTCTAAGTCAGGGGTCTCAAACACAATTTACCTGGGGGCCGCTGGAGGCAGAATCTGGGTGAGGCTGGGGCGCATAATATAATACTTTATATTATACTTTATATTTATATTATACACTAATATTATACTTTCATATCACGGTGGGGGCTACAGGATATCGTCCTGCGGGCCGCAATTGGCCCGCGGGCCATGAGAATGAGACCTCTGCTCTAAGTGGTTTAGAGTCAACCTCTTGCCCCCAACAACCTGGCTCCTTATTTTTTCCCACCTCGGAAGGAAGGAAGGCTGAGTCAACCTTGAGCCTGGTGAGATTTGAACTGCCAAATTGCAGTCAGCCAGCAGTCAGCAGAAGTAGCCTGCAGTACTGCACTCTAACCACTGCAGCACCACGGCTCACAACAATTCGTTTAATGACTGTTTAAAATTTCGATGGCATTGAAAAAAGTGACTTATCACCAGTTTGAACCCCGTGCCACTCAGACAGGACACAGAAATAATCTTTGCATAATGAAGCAGTGTTTCTAATCTTGGTACATTCAGGTCATGGCAACATGGACTACATACACTGTATGTCAGGGCTCCGACAATCCACCCCCATTGAAATCATGAATCTCGAGCGGCATCTCTCAGAGTTAAAAGAAAATCATTTATTAGGAGTGAACAAGTCGGCATTACCTGGGTGCAGCTGACCCTGAGACACATCATTCATTTCCCCCTTCACCCCGGTCTTCCCCCAACCCCTGGATGTATATTCTCCAATGGGACACATCTATAGCCAAGAGTCATCCATCATGCACTCCAATAATAATCTTATGCGCCAGAAGCTTTGGCCGCCTAGCAATTATCTATGGAAATATTTCAGGTATGCATTGCTTACCCCACTCCCTTTCTGCTGACAACCCTAAAAGATCAGAGAAATATTTTTGAGTTGACACTGTATGGCAATAGCAATAGCACTTAGACTAACATACCGCTTCACAGTGCTTTACAGCCCTCACTAAGTGATTTACAGGGTCAGCCTCTTGCCCCCAACAATCTGGGTTCTCATTTGACCCACCTCGGAAGGATGGAAGGCTGAGTCAACCTTGAGCTAATGAGACACAAACTGCCAGCAGTCAGCAGTCAGCAGAAATAGCCTACAATACTGCATTCTAGCCACTGCGCCACCACGGCTCTAGACAGGACATATTTTTTTTAAATGACTCTTTATTCCCTTTATTTGGGGACTAGGTAGTTTAGTCCTTAGTCAATCATTTCCTCCCATTGTGCTTCTTTGTGTAGGTCTTTGTTTTGGTGCCGAGATCCGGAGAACGTGGGTCATCGGAGGCAAGGAAGTGACACCCCATTCTCGGCCCTTTATGGCCTCCATCCAACATGAGAACAAACACATTTGCGGTGGGTTCTTGTTGAGACGAAGATGGGTGATGACAGCAGCTCATTGTGTGATTCCCAAGTAAGTTAGAACTTACCCCACTCCTCGCTCTAGCACTGATGATGTTACCTAGTTGCAGGGGTGGGATTCTACCAGTTCAGGCCGGTTCTATAGAACCGGTTGTTGTGATTCTGCACAGTTCTGAGAACCGGCAAACCATGCCCCTGGCTGGCCCCGCCCCTCTTCGCCTGCCCCTCCCCTTCCCTCCCAGTCAGCCCTTAGCGCGCATGCGTGACGTCGCTGACTGCGTTCTTCCCTGCCCAGTCACTCCTTAAGGTATTTTTCCCCTCCCGACGATCAGCTGTTCCTATGATCAGCTGTTCCTATGATCAGCTGTGCTGGGATTCCCCTCACTGTCTTATTGCTTCACCCAAGAGACTTCCCTGAGGCTCAGGAAGGCAAAAAAATGGAGGGGCCGCTCCATTTTTTGCCTTCCTGGGCCTCAGGGAAGCTTCCTGGGAGCAAAAACGCCACCCCGGGAGGCTTCCCTGAGGCCCAGAAGGCCCCCAAAATTGGGAGGGTGCTGCAAAAATAATAAGAAGAAGCCATGCCTTCCCAGTCACATGGCCATGCCCACCTAGCCACACCCACCTAGCCACGCCCACAGAATCGGTTGTTAAAAATTTTGAATCACACCCCTGCCTAGTTGGGTCATGAAACATCTGCAGAGATTAGAATAGAATAGAATAGAATAGAATAGAATAGAATAGAATAGAATAGAATAGAATAGAATAGAATAGAATTCTTTATTGGCCAAGTGTGATTGGACACACAAGGAATTTGTCTTTGTGCAAATGCTCTCAGCATACAGAAGAAAAAAATAAAAATACATTCATCAAGAGTCGAGAATCATAAGGTATAACACTTAATCATAGTCATAGGGTACAATAAGCAGTCAAATCATACTAGGAAACAGTCAATATAAATCGTAAGGATACAAGCGACAAAGTTACAGTCATACAGTCACAAGTGGGAGGGGATGGGCGATAAGGAGTGATGAGAGGATTAATAGTAATAGTAGTGCAGACTTAATAAATAGTTGGACAGTGTTGAGGGAATTATTTGTTTAGCAGAGTGATGGCGTTCAGGGAAAAACTGTCCTTGTGTCTAGTTGTTCTGGGGTGCAGTGCTCTATAGCGTCGTTTTGAGGGAAGGAGTTGAAACAATTTATGTCCGGGATGCGAGGGGTCTGTAGATATTTTCACAGCCCTCTTTTTGACTCGTGCAGTACACAAGTCCTCAATTGAAGGCAGGTTAGTAGTAATTGTTTTTTCTGCAGTCCTAATTGTCCTCTGAAGTCTGTGTCTGTCCTGTTGGGTTGCAGAACCAAACCAGACAGTTATGGAGGTGCAGATGACAGACTCCATCATTCCTCAGCTCCTTGGGCAAACAGCCAAGCTCAGAGAGCACCACCAAGGACCCCACAACTCAACCCTGAGCTACAAATATTCTCTTCTACCTATAACAGCCAATGTGGTGTGTTGCAACTAGATGACAAACAGATCAGGTTGTTCCCTCTCAAGGGCATTACTCTCCAGTAAGCCTGCATGCGAAGTCAGCTGGATTGGAGTTCCAATTCGTACCAGATTGTCTGAGAACATCTAGAACTAGGGTGTCAAACTCGAGGCCTGTGGGCCGGATATGCGCGTGGCCCTCCCAAGCTCCGTTTTGGCCGGCAGAGGGCTAGCAAAAGAAAACTCAAAACAAAACAAAACAAAACAAAAGGAGAGATGCTTCCTCTTTTGCATTTGAGAATCCAAGGAGAAAGGGAAAGAGGAAAGACAAAGGAAAGGAAGGGAAGATGGGAAGGGAGTAAGGAAGGAAAAAGAAGGAAAGAAGGGAAGGAAGAAGAAAGAAGACTGAAGAGGGAAGGAAAAAGAAGAAAAGGAAGGAAGGAGGGAAGGAGAGGGGGAGGAAAGAAGGAGGGAAGAAGTGAAGGAAGGAAGGAGGGAGGGAGAGAGGGAGGAAAGGAGGGAGGGAGGGGGGAAGGAAGGGAGGAAGGAGGGAAGGAAGGAGGGAGAGAGGAAGGAAAGGAGGAAAAAAAGGAAGGAGGGAAGGAAGGAGGAAAGGAAGGAGGGAGGGAGGAAAGAAAGAAGGATAGAGGGAAGGAAGGAAGGAAGGAAGAAAGGAAGGAAGGAAGGAGAGGAAGGGTCTGAGGGAAGTCCTGCCTTAGCATTTGGCCACCACAGGTGCCCCCGACACGAGTGACATCGAGCTGGCCATGCCCACCCCAGCCACGCCCACCCCGGCCCCCTGAGGTCAAACACAATCCTGATGTGGCCCTCAATGAAATTGAGTTCGACTCCCCTGATCTAGAATAATGGCTGAGGAATTCTGGGAATTGAAGTCCACATGTCTTAAAGAGGCCAAGGTTGAGAAACCACTTCTAAATCCTTTTTCTGCATTTGTACGAAGTTGCTCACGTGATGGGTTTGCCTAAATGTTTGTCTAACTTAATACAGTGACTGAGGTACACAGACTGATGTGTAGGGGTGCTTCTTTGATTAATGTTTTCAGTAAGGGGGACTTTCTTCCTTTGTTCTTGAAGGAACAAAGAATGCCACGTATAGCCTGATAAGAGAACTGGTTCAAACTTGCCAGGGACAAAGATTCTCTTTTATTATACATAGATTTAGAACATAGAATAGTAGGGTCGGAAGGGACCTTGGAGGTCTTCTAGACCAGGGGTCCCCAACCACCGGGCCCCGGACCGGTACCAGTCCGTGGATCATTTTGTACCAGGCTGCCGGTACTTGAGTGCCGCCATCTTGTTTCGATGGCGCTTGAGAAAGTGCTTCCGGGTGAGCTTGTCGGTCGTCGGTTGGAAAGTGGCGTTTGGGTGCTGAAGGAATCCTCGCGCCTTAGTTTCGTCGAAGAGGGGGGAGGCGGCTTCGAACGAAGAGCCATCCCGATGGCGGTGGAGTCTCGCGTTAGGTACAAAGGAGGAGTTGAAGGTGGCAGGGAGAAGCGGGGGACGGCTGGCTGGCCGGTCGCTCGGCTCGCCTTGCCTTGGTCATGCGTGCTGATGCCGGTACTGATCCGTGGAAAAATTGTCTTCTACAAAACTGGTCCCTGATGCCAGAAAGGGTGAGGACCACTGTTCTAGACTATCCCTCTGTTCAAGGTTGAGATCCTATACCATTCTGGACAAGTGGCTGTCCAATCTCTTCTTGAAAACCTCCAGTGATGGAGCACCTACAACTTCTAGAGGCAAGCCATTCCACTGATTAGTTGTCAGGAAGTTTCTCCTGAGTTCTAGTTCTTTCTTTAATGATCTTCAACACTAGTAACTTGCAAACTCGTTATAATATGAAAAACACATTGCTTAAATACGTAGAAGAGCATCAACAGGATCATGCTAAGAAATTATGAGATGTTACATGGTACGTGCTAGGTAGAACCTCTGAGCATGTACAGGCAGTCCTCGACTTACGACCACATCCGAGCCCAAAATTTCTGTTGCTAAGTGATACATTTCTTAAGTGAATTTTGCCCCCCTTTTTACGCCCTTTCTTGCCTCAGGGGTAAAGTCAATCACTGCAGTTTTAATAAACCTGATTTCCCCATTGACTTTGCTTGTCAGAGGGTTGAAATAGCTGATCACATGACCCCAAGGCACTGCAACCGTCATAAATATGAGTCAGTTGCCAAGCATCTGAATCTTGATCGTGTGATCAAGGGGGGGGGGGTTTACTTCAACCGTCATAAGTGTGAAAAACGGTCATAAGTCCCTTTTTTCGGTGCGGTTGTAACTTGGAACAGTCACGAAATGAACTGTTGTAAGTCGAGGACTAGCTGTACATTGCATCAGAGATGGGGTCAAAGTGAAAGAACTCATTGCAAACCCTCATTGTGTTTCAAATGTGGGCAGGTAGTTCTCGACTTACAATGGAGCCCCAAATTTCCATGGCTAAAGCAAGACAGTTAAGTGAGTTGTACCTCATTTTCTGACCTTTTTTGCGTCAGTGGTTAAACAAATCCCTGCAGTTGTTAAATGAATCATGCAACTGTTAAGCAAATCTGCTTCCCCTGTTGACTTTTCTTGTAAGAAGGTTATAAATGGTGATTACACGACTCAGAGGCGGGGGTGGGCTTCAAAAATATCAGCAACAGGTTCTTTGCCCGATTACTGGGTGGGCGTGACCATGGTGGGCGTGGCCTAGTCAGCCTCCTGCACCAGGGGGCATTTTCACCCTCCCCAGTCTCCGGAGGCTTTCCTCGAGCCTCTAGGAAGGTAAAAACGGCCTCCTCCACCTGCTGTGGTGCAGGAGGCTAACTAGGCCACCTTCCGGAGCCTTCCGGAGTCTTCTGGAGCCTTCCGGAGCCTCTGGAAAGTGCGTTTTTCACCCACCCTGAGCCTCTACGTGGGTCCTGCATTTACCTGACATCTGTGGAGGGATTTCTGGAAGGGGTGGGGTGGGTGGGCAGGGCCAGCCAGGGGTGGGATTTGCTGGTTCACCGAACCAGCCATAAAACTAGCTATGGGTTTGCCCGAATCGGGGAGAACCGGTTGCAGCCCACTCCCGCCCTGGCGACAGTGCAATGGTCATAAATAGATGCCAGTAACCAAGTGCCTGAAATTTAATCAGGTGACCCCTGGGATGCTGCCACAATTGAGCCCAAAATTTCTGTTGCTAAGTGAAACATTTGTTAAATGAGTTTTGCCCCATTTTACGAACTTTCTTGCCCCCGCGGTTCAGTGAATCACTGCAGAAGTTAAGTTAGTAACTCGGTTAAGTGAACCTGGCTTTCCCCATTGACTTTGCTTGTCAGAAGGTTGCAAAATGCAACTGTCATAAATAGGAGTCCGTTGCCCAAGTGTCTAAATTTTGACCATGTCACCATGGGGGATGCTGCAACCGTCATAAGTGTGAAAACTGGTCATAAGTCACTTTTTTCATTGCTGTTGTGACAGTCACTAAATAACGTTGAGGACTATCTGTATAAATGAATCCACTTTTTAAAGGGTGTACATAAATAGAGTAGATTTTTAGAATTTAGCTTGGATTGTTTGGGTAAAGCACGTCGGGCTGATGGATCTGCTGACGTTTATGGCTTACGTGACTGTGAATTCACTAAAGGGCCAAACTCCCCTTGAAAATCAGTGTGTGCATATACAGGTAAGCCTCGACTTACAACCATTTATTTAGTGACCGTTCAAAGTTACAACGGCACTGAAAAATGCGACTTATGACCATTTTTAACAGTTACAACCGTTGCAGCATCCTCAGGGTCATGTGATCAATATTCAGGTGCTTGGCAGCTGGTTCCTATTTAGGACCGTTGCTGTCTCCCAAGCGTGTGTGATCTTCTTTTGCAACCTCCTCACAAGTAAAGTCAATGGAGAAGCCAGATTCACTTAACATGAAACAGAGGGATAGAATCAAGATCGCGTGAAGTGTTAATACCACTTTATAAGGCCTTTTGGTAAGGCCACACTTGGAATCCTGCATCCAGTTTTGGTCACCACGATATAAAAAAGATGTTGAGGCTCTAGAAAAAGTGCAGAGAAGAGCAACAGAGACGATTAGGGACTGGAGGCTAAAACATATAAAGAATGATTGCAGGAATTGGGTATGTCTAGTTTGATGAAAAGAAGGACTAGGGGAAGGGGTGGAATTCAACCGTTGTTACTACCAGTCCCTTCCCTTCCCTTCTCTTTCCTTATCTGCCTTGCCTCCTGTATTAAATTTAGGGAAGGTTTTTGCACAACCTATTCAGTTACAAACCTTGCTTTTCATCTGCAAAAGTGATGCTTTAAAAAGGTGTGCATGTAACACACCTGAAGCTGTGCCTCCTGGACAGCTGATAAGCGATGCGTGTGGATGCGCAGCATTTGAAAAACCACTTTTTTTACTGCTTTTTCAACCTCAGCAAAGCAGCTGAGGTTGAAAAAGCACGAAATAAAGGTCAGGTAAGAGCCCGGGCAGGTGGGCGGGCCAAACAGCAGCAGACACAGAACCGGTTCTGTGTCTGCTGCTCTTCAGAGCTACCGGTTTTATAGAACCAGGCAGAACCAGTAGCATCCCATCCCTGACTAGGGGTGACATGACAGCAGTCTTCCAATATCTCAGGGGCTGCCACAAAGAAGAGGGAGTCAAGCTATTCTCCAAAACACCTGAAGGCAGGACAAGAAGCAACGGATGGAAACTAATCAAGGAGAGAAGCAACTTAGAACTAAGGAGGAATTTCCTGACAGTTAGAACAATCAATCAGTGGAACAACTTGCCTCCAGAAGTTGTGAATGCTCCAACACTGGAAGTTTTTAAAAATATGTTGGATAACTATTTGTCTGAAGTGGTGTAGGGTTTCCTGCCTGGGCAGTGGGTTGGGCTAGAAGACCTCCAAGGTCCCTTCCAACTCTGTTATTCTATTCAATAAGTTACTAACTTATTAACTGCAGTGATTCACTTGACAACTGTGGCAAGAAAGGTCGTAAAATGGGGCAAAACCCACTTAAGAAATGTGTTAGGGATATACACCCTAGCAGAACCTGCACGGCAGTCAGTCAGGCAGGCAAATATGTGAGACAAACGTTTTTGTAGCTTACATTCAGTAAAACAGATACACTGTGCTAGTTAAATAGTTTATTCCAGTAAGATTTTTTTAGCATAGTCAAACAGTCCATATATCATACACTAGTTCAGTCTGTCCGGGGATTAATCAGTTGCAAAGTCCAATGTCGAAAAAGAGGTCAGTAAACTTACAAATATCAGTCCAGTAATATATCTCTTCGCAGTAAAGATATGAAGAAGTCAAACCTCTTTTCTTCCTTCAGCAACAGCAGAGAACACGCAGTTATCACACCATCAATCCATCATCGTCAGCAACCAATCCAGTTCTCTTGCTCCCTCTTATGGCGATTTACAGCCGCACCCAAAATTACATGCTTTGCAATTAAAGTGACACACACTTAAACTCACTATCATAGTTTATATATATTATTTTACCCAAACTACGTTAGGTAACCTATGTTATTCCTAACAAAATGTCTCACTTAACAACAGAAATTTTGGGTTCAGTTGTGGTCATAAATTGAGGACTGCCTGCATTGCCGTATTTCCCAAAAGCTAAAGAGAGCTTATGGGTGTTTTTTTTTTCTCTTGTGGAAATTGTCTTGTGCAGTAGGAATCAACATTGCCACTTCTAACTTTTCCCCATTTATCCTGGCAGGCGCTCCTCACAGTTTCGCGTCATCCTGGGGGCCCATTCGCTCAAGACTCAGGAGGCCTCCCAGCAAATCTTTGGCATCCAGAACTCCATTGCTCACCCGCTTTTCAATGCTGAGACAGTGAAAAATGACATCCGTTTACTCAAAGTGAGTGTGGGCAGAGAAACAGGCCTCCGTCTGGGTACTTAATTTTTATTTTATTTATTTATTTATTTATTTATTTGATTTGCCAATTGTTTACAAGATAATAAGTATAAGTGTATACATAGTTGTGAATACATGAAATGGGTACATATAAGAAAAATAAAAGAAGAATAAGAGAAACAATAGGACAGGGACGGTAGGCATGTTGGTGCGCTTATGCACGCCCCCTACAGACCTCTTAGGAAAGGGGTGAGGTCAATAGCAGACAGTCTAAGGTTAAAGTTTTTGGGAGGAAGAAGAATCGTGTTATGTGATTTGGCCACCTCATGTTGCAAAGGAACAGTGTTTTCTGATAAAGGTCTCAGTTAAAGGATATTAACCTTTTGTGCAAGGTCCTAAGGCCAGGACTTCCTCCCTCCCTCCTTCTTCTCTTCCTTCCTTTCTCCCTCCCTCCCTTCCTTGGTAGAAGGAAGAGCCGTGGTGGCATAGGGGTTAGAATGCAGTATTGCAAGCTAATTCTGCCAACTGCCAGCAGTTCAATCCTGAGCAGCTCAAGGTTGATTGAGCCTTCCATCCTTCCAAGGTCGGTACAATTGTTGGGGGCAAGATGCTGACTATAAACCACTTAGAGAAGGCTGCATTGCTAATTGCTTGCTTGCTTCCTCCTGCCTTCCTTCCTTCCTTTTTTCCTTCCTTCCATCCTTCTTTCCTTCCCTTCCCTTCCCTTCCCTTCCCTGCCTTCCCTTTCCCTTCCCTTCCTTTCTCTTTCCTTATCTGCCTTGCCTCCTGTATTAAATTTAGGGAAGGTTTTTGCACAACCTATTCAGCCAGATCAGTTACAAACCTTGCTTTTCATCTGCAAAAGCAATGCTTTAAAAAGGTTTAACTAAGTGGTTGAGACACGAGGAATCACACTGAAGGCCATTTGCACCAATAAAAATGTGCACTTTTGCTGAACTGTTATTCACTGCTGCAGAATAAAGTAAGATTCCAGTTTTCTTACTGAAGTCAGAATAAATGGCAAATTTAAAAAAGCATCTAAGAAGCTACCTTAAACCAAATTAGATCAACTAAATCTATCTATGTTCTCTTGTCTTCTAAGCTTGATTGGGAAAAGTTCTTCAGATTTCAGACAAACCGAGGACTGAAATTCTAGTTGTTCATCAATGCAAGATATATTTTCGGTCTCTCGGTACCCAAAGCCTCACAACGCTATTCTTAACACACTATCATAACCCCAAATAATTAATTCATCAACACCCAGGTGTGGGGAGGCTGTTTTCCATTGTTCTGTGTATTAAAAATTAAACACTAGGGGGCGATCCTGGCTTCCAGAAGGAAAAAATAATTGGAGGCAAAATATATGATATAGTTAAGTTCCAGCAGGCTGGAAATGGCTAATGGCTTCACAGATCAGGAACACAGTCAGATGGCCAACATCTGGATGGTGTGGCACGACATTTGGTTGTTTTGAACATTTCTCTCTAGAATTCTCCGAACCTTTTGCATCACTTTTCATGAACAAACTACTGGCCATAAAAATACCGCAAACAAAACTTATGTAACTTTGCCGGAAAAGAATCTTTCGAGAGTAACAGAGAAAACTCTGTTCCGATGGTTTGGGGTTGCCTAAAGCGACATGGTGAGGGAGGAGTTGGAATCGGTGGGACTACATGGATCAGGGGGGTCAAACTGGATTTCTTTGAGGGCCAAATCAACATTGTAGTTGGATGCCTCCTGCAGCACCCTGCTGGCCAAAACGGGGCACGTGGAGACCCCACGAGGCCCCCGCATGGCCCCTTTTCGGCTTCTTTAGCTTATAAATGTCTTGGGTGCCAGTGTGGTCAGTTGGTCATGTGATTGGTTCGTTTGGAGCAAGAGGAATCGGAGAATAAATTCTTGCTGATTCTGTTACCTAGTCTGGTAATGAAACATTCAGAAACTAAATTGAAACAAGCTTGGAGAGCGAACCACTGCCAAAATCTAAAACCCGAGCTACAAGGGTTTTTTATTATTATTATTATTATTATTTCAACTCTATACCATATTAGACAAATGCCTGTCCAATCTCTTCTTAAAAACATCCAGCGATGGAGCATCCACAACCTCTGGAGTTAAGTTGTTCTGCTGATTCATTGTTCTCACTGTCAGGAAATTACTTTTTAGTTCTAGGTTGCTTCTCTCCTTGATTAGTTTCCATCCGTTGCTTCTTGTCCTGCCTTCTGGTGCTTCGGAGAATAGCTTGATCCCCTCTGCTTTGTGATAATCCCTGAGATATTGGAAGACTGCTATCATGTCACCCCCTAGTCCTTCTTTTCATTAAACTAGACATTACCCAATTCCTGGAGGGGCGTTTTTGCTCCCAGAAGGCTTCCTTGGGGCCCAGGAAGGCAAAAAATGGTGTGTGTGTGTGTGTGTGTGCTGTGCCCCCCTCCAATTTTGGGGCCTTTCTGGGCCTCAGGGAAGCCTCCTGGGCAAAGCAGTAAGACAGCGAGGGGAATCCCGGCACAGCTGATCATAGGAACAGCTGATTGTCAGGAGGAAAAAAATACCTTAAGGAGTGACTGGGCAGAGGAGAACGCAGTCAGCGATGTCAGGCATGCACGCGATGTTGCACATGCACGATAAGGACCGATTGGGTAGGGAAGGGAGGGGCGACCGGGTCGGGGGCGTGGCCTGCCAGAAGTTACTACCGGTTTGGCTACTCAAAACCAAAATCCTTGCTACCGGTTCACCCAAACTGGTGCAAACTGGCTGAATACCACCACTGCCTCTGTTCCACGTTAAGTGATTCATGCTTTGCAGATGAATCATTGCTGAAAATGCAACACCGGCCTTAGCAGCCCATCTCTTCTTCTTCTTCTCTCTGTCTGCAGTTGAACAGATCCGCCATTTTCAATAAGAACGTCCGGAAGATCAAGTTACCTCACGCCTACACTGATCTTTGCCCTGGACTCACATGCCATGTTCTCGGCTGGGGGGACATCTCAAATTATGCGACCATCCCCACCAAACTCATGGAAGCCAACACAACCATCGTGGACAGGAAGGCTTGTAATGAATCGTGGCAAGGACATGTCTCCAAGAGCATGGTCTGCGCAGCCAGCACCAATGCCGTCCTGCGTGGTTTCTGCTCGGTGAGCCTGGGGTGGCCTTCCCAAAATAGAAACTCAGAATGCTAAGGAGTTTTATTATATGCCATGTTTGGTCAGAGACTGAACACAGCGAGGGTGAAATTGTGAACATGGGGCAGTGCTTGACAAAAAGGTTAATGCTGTCGTCCATCAGCCCATTGGACAAAAGTTGATGGATTTAAACCAGGGGTGTCAAACTCAAGGCCTGCAAGCTTCATCTGGCTCGCAGGGTGTTTAGATCTGGCCTGCAGGGCTGCCCTGGAAACAGCAAAAGAATTGTTGTAAGTCGAGAACTACCTATATAAATATGATGAATGAATGAATGAATGAATATAGGAGGGAGTTTGCAAGATCTAATCTACGCATACCAATCATTACCTCTCTACCATCTGTTTTTTTTTTTTTATTCTTTTCCCTTGATTCTACTGTCCTTGGGTGTTACCAAATCTATTTTTGTGGTTGGTCACACAGACAGACTGTGATGACCCAGGGTGGGATACAAAAACAACACAGGAAGAAAAACAGGTGAAGTCACTTGAATTCCTTTAGCTTGGCTTCAAAGCTCCAAATATCCTTGACCGGAAACAAAAAATCTCCCCCACAAACAGTTGCAAAAAAGGAGGAAATGTTGTTTAAACTAAAAATGCCGATAAATTATAATTAGAAAAAACAATACAAACCACACTGAAGCAATTAAGGGAACCAGGCAAAATAAGGGCTTGAAGACGTCCACAGATATCAGAATACACATTGGGAAGGATGCCAAACTCAGCTAAGAATGGACAGACTAGAAATATTTCCACGCTTTGTTCCCAGCACTTGCCTGTACGCATGTCCTTCCTCTTATCCAGTTGTCACAGCTGCAGCCCATGAAGAGGATCAAGGCCCTCTCCTCCCCAGTAGACCACGTCTCTCCCTTATCCTCTCCTCCCTGCATGCCGTAGGATGGATAGGGGATGGGCCTGGGTCCTCCTCTGACTGCCCAGCCGGCCTCTGCCCTTCCCCAGCCTCCTCCACGACCTCTGGAGCCACACTTCCACGCCCTGTCAGCTGTTCCTCCTCTCCCTCAGAGTCCGACTCCACCAGGGCATGACACAGCCAGATGTGTAGACTAGATTTGACATTTTTGTCATCAATATTATTATTTGATATTTAATGCCATGTTATTGCAGGGGGGACACACATGGTGATATTCCTTGAACCCATCTGCCCAAGGGCCATTCCTGAGACCCTATACCTGACCCCTCTCTTCCTTCTTTTGTAGGGTGACTCAGGTGGCCCCTTAGTGTGTGGGGAAAACGTTCATGGCATCGTCTCCTTCAACGGAAAGAGATGCGGCGATCGGCATTTTCCGGATGTCTATACCCGCATTGCCAATTACATCCCCTGGATCCATTTCGTGCTGCAGACTTTTTGATTGGTGGTCTTGGAAGGCTGGGGGTGGGGTCTGAGGTGGGTTTTTCCAAGAAAAAAAAAAGCTGACTTGTTTGGTGGGAGAGGAGAAACAGATTTACTCAGCTTTGTCCAGGTCTACAATTCCCAAAATTTCCAAGCCATTCACAGCCGTATTGATGGGATGCTCTGGATGATGTGTTCATCACACATCTGGAAGAATAGAAGTCGATGTTACACTGACAATTGGATATTTTTAAAGACAGCTTCCATAGAATAGTTAAATGTAATTCATCAAGGGCGCAGTATAATGTACATCTACAGAATGCTATAATCATCTCCTCCTCCTCCTCGTCCTCCTCCTCCTCCTCCTCCTCCTCCTCCTCCTCCTCCTCCTCCTTCTTCCATGTCTTCCTCCTCCTCCTCTTCTCATACATTTTATTATCACTTTCTTCTTCTTCTTCTTCTCCTCCTCCTCTTCCTCCTCCTTCTCCTTCCATGTCTTCTTCTTCT